TGTTGTTGATCAGCAAAGTACCACTCAAGGAGAAGTCACAACAAAAGGTAAGTACAATGTTTCTTGGTCGATGCTTGGTGCTTTGTTGCATTGTAGTGAGTGCAACATAAACATTGGTTGTGATGATTCTTTTTCTCGAAGATTCCCCGTCTACTCCTGTTGTTCATCAGCAAAGTACCACTCAAGGACAAGTCACACCTCAAGGTAAGCACAATGTTTCTTTGTCAATGCTTGATGCATTGTTGCATTGTAGTGAGGGTAACACAAACATTGGTTGTGATGATTCTTTTTCTCGAAGATTCCCCGTCTATTCCTGTTGTTGATCAGCAAAGTACCACTCAAGGAGAGGTCACAACAAAAGGTAAGCATAATGTTTCTTAGTCGGTACATATCACATTGTTGCATTATGAGAAGGATTAATAAACATTGGTTGTGATGATTCTTTTTCTCAAAGGTTCTCCGTCTACCCCTGTTGTTGATCAGCAAAGTACCACTCAAGGAGAAGTCACACCTCAAGGTAAGCATAATGTTTCTTTGTCGATGCTTGATGCATTGTTGCACTGTAGTGAGGGTAACACAAACATTGGTTGTGATGATTCTTTTTCTCGAAGATTCCCCGTCTACCCCTGTTGTTGATCAGCAAAGTACGACTCAAGGAGAAGTCACACCTCAAGGTAAGCACAATGTTTCTTGGTCGATGCTTGGTGCATTGTTGCATTGTAGTGAGGGTAACACAAACATTGGTTGTGACGATTATTTTTTCTCAAAGGTTCTCCGTCTACTCCTGTTGTTGATCAGCAAAGTACAGCTCAAGGACAAGGCACACCTCAAGGTAAGCACAATGTTTCTTTGTCGATGCTTGATGCATTGTTGCATTGTAGTGAGGGTAACACAAACATTGGTTGTGATGATTCTTTTTCTCAAAGGTTCTCCGTCTACTCCTGTTGTTGATCAGCAAAGTACCACTCAAGGAGAAGTCACACCTCAAGGTAAGCACAATGTTTTTTGGTCGATGCTTGATACATTGTTGCATTGTAGTGAGGGTAACATAAACATTGGTTGTGATGATTCTTTTTCTCGAAGGTTCTCCGTCTACTCCTGTTGTTGATCAGCAAAGTACCACTCAAGGAGAAGTCACACCTCAAGGTAAGCACAATGTTTTTTGGTCGATGCTTGATACATTGTTGCATTGTAGTGAGGGTAACATAAACATTGGTTGTGATGATTCTTTTTCTCGAAGATTCCCCGTCTACAGCGGTTGTTGATCAGCAAAGTACAGCTCAAGGAGAAGTCACACCTCAAGGTAAGCACAATGTTTCTTGGTCGATGCTTGGTGCATTGTTGCATTGTAGTGAGGGTAACACAAACATTGGTTGCGATGATTCTTTTTCTC